CATTTTTAAAGTTTTCTACAAGAAACATTTATTTTATAATAAAAATAAAATAAACTTAAAATCTACCATCTAATTGGCACTCAACTTCATTAGCCTTGTGGAAAGACAAATTTAATGATATATCACTACACGCCTACGATTGTGAGTAGGATTAGGTGAAATTAAAAAGACTGATAAAATCAAATTTTGGCAAGAATGTGGAACAACTAGAAGCCTCTTACATTGCTGGTGGGAATATAAATTGTTTCAAGTACTTTGGGAAGCTATTTGGAGGCATTGCATCTACTAGATGTGAAGGTACCTGGGTGGTGCAAACACTTTGCATTTAGACTATTAATCTACCGGTTGGTGGTTCAGCCCCACTCAGCAGCACTACAGAGGAAAGACCTGGTGATCTGCATCTGTAAATATTACAGCCAAAATAGTCCCATGGAGCAGTTCTACTACATAAAGCATGGGGTTGCCATGAGTCAGAATTGACTTGAGGGCAATGGGTTTGGTTTGTTTGTGTTGTTTTTAACTGGAGGTGAACATATGCATACATTATGACCTAGCAATCCACTTCTGGGTATACACCCAACAGAATGCACATACATGTTCAGTAAAATATATGTATTAGATTGATCACAGCAGTACTATTCATAATATCCCCAAAGTAGAGTCTATCCAAGGCTTATCAACAGAAGAATGTTGTTGTTGTCGTTAGGTGCTGACTCACAGCGACCCTGTATACAACAGAATGAAACACTGCCCTGTCCTGCGTCATACTGACAATCATTGGTAAGCTTGAGCCCATTGTTGCAGGCACTGTGTCAATCCATCTCGTTGAGGGTCTTCCTCTTTTTTGCTGACCCTCTACTCTATCAAGCGTCATGTTCTGTAGGGACTGGTCCCTCCTGATAACATGTCCAAAGTATGTGAGATGAAGTCTCGCCATCCTCGCTTCTAATGAGCATTCTGACTGTACTTCCAAGACAGATGTCATGGATTGAATTGTGTCCCCCAAAAATATCTGTCAACTTGGCTAAGTCATGATTCCAGTATTGTATGATTGTCCACCATTTTGTCATCTGATGTGATTTCCCTATGTGTTGTAAATCCTATCTCTATGATGTTGATGAGATGGGATTATTGGCAGTTATGCTGATAAAATCTACAAGATTAGATTGTGTCTTAAGATAATCTCTTTTGAGACATAAAAAAGAAGTGAGCAGAGAGCTAGGGGAACCTCATACCACCAAGAAAATAGTACCAGGAGCAGAGTGTGTCCTTTAGACCTGAGGTTCCTGTGCTGAGAAACTCCTAGACTGGAGGAAGATTGGTGACAAAGACCTTCCTCCAGAACTTACAGAGAAAACCTTCCCCTGGAGCTGACGCCCTGAATTTAGACTTCTAGCCTACTAGACTATGAGAGAATAAATTTCTCTTCGTTAAAACCATCCACTTGTGGTATTTCTGTTACAGCAGCACTAGATAGTCAAGAGAACAGATATATTCGTTCTTTTGGCAGTCCATGGTATATTCAGTATTCTTCACCAACACCATAATTAAAGACATCAATTCTTCTTCAGTCTTCCTTATTCATTGTCCAGCTTTCACATATATATAAGGCAATTGAAAACACCATGGCTTGGGTCAGGTGTACCTTAGTCCTTGAAGTGACATCTTTACTTTTTAACACTTTAAAGAGGTCTTTTGCAGCAGATTTACCCAATGCAATGTGTCTTTTGATTTCTTGACTGCTGCTTCCATGTGCATTGATTGTGAATCCAGGTACAATGAAATCCTTGACAACTTGAGTCTTTTCTGTGTTTATCATAATGTTGCTTATTGGTTCAGTTGTGAGAATTTTTGTTTTCTTTATGTTGAGGTATAATCCATACTGAAGGCTGCGGTCTTTGATCTTCATCAGTAAGTGCTTCAAATCCTCTTCACTTTCAGCAGGCAAGGTTGTGTCATCTGCACATCACAGGCTCTTAATGAGTCTTCCTCCAATCCTGATGCCATGTTCTTCATATAGTCCAGCTTCTTGGATTATTTGCTCAGCATGCAGATTGAGTAAGCATGGTGAAAGAATACAGCCCTGACACACGCCTTTCCTGAATTTAAATCACGCAGCATCTTGTTCTGTTCGAAGAACTGCCTCTTGATCTAGGTACAGGTTCCTCATGAACACAATTAAGTGTTCTGGAATTCTTTGTAATGTTATCCATAATTTGTTATGATGCACACAGTCAGATGCCTTTGCATAGTCAATAAAATATAGGTAAACATTTTTCTGGTATTCTCTGCTTTCAGCCAGGATCCATCTGACATCAGCAATGCTGTCCCTTGTTCCACATCCTCTTCTGAATCCAGCTTGAATTTCTGGCAGTTCCCTGTCAATGTACTGCTGCAACAGTTTTTGAATGATCTTCAGCAAAATTTTACTTGTGTGTGATACTGTTATTGTTCGATAATTTCTGCATTCAGTTGAATCACCTTTCTTTGGAATGGGCACAAATATGACAATTACTGTAGTTTTCATGGTGCCAAACAAAACCTACAGATAGTGTTAAGTTCAGCAAATATTTTGGATTAGGATAATATTTTGGATTAGGATAATTGAGAAATTACTTTTTAAAATTGTTTAACAGAATTGGGGCTTTTCCTTTGTTAATTTGATGGTTTAAAGGCTAGGGAATGGGGAGCTGGAATTCCAAATAGAGAAAGTATCATGACCAAAGCAAGGCATATATGTGGAAATAGGTCAAAAATTCAAGTAGCATTTAGACAATAGAAAATGCCTATAAAAGAAAGTAGAAGAGGAAGAATGGAGGAAAAACTGAAAATGCAGAGAAGACTACAGAGTTTGTGTACTGAAATGAATTAGTAGACTAGTATCAGAACCCTGTAACTGGTCTCTATCACTTACTATCTATATGACCCTGGGCAAATAACCTTGATGAGCCTTAGGAAAACATTACTATACATTGTTACCTCCTTTGATTCTTACATGGAAATGCTATACGATAGAAGTAGAGCAAAGAAATTGATGCACAGAAACAAAGTCACGTCATGTAACTATTTCTTGGGTCCCTATATGCAGTAGAAGAACCCTGGTGGTGCAGTGGTTAAGCATGCAGCTGCTAAATGAAAGATCAGCAGTTCAAACCCACCAGCCAGTCAGTGGGAGAAAAGATGTGGCAGTCTGCTTGCATAAAAATTTCCAGCTTTGGAAACCCTGTGGGACAGTTCTACCTTGTCCTAACAGGTTCACTATGAGTTGGAATCAACTCAAGAGCAGTGAGTTTGGTTTGGTTATACACAATAGGCAAAAGGTTAAGCACTCAGCTACTAATTAAAAGGTCAGTTCAAACCCACCCAGAGACACCTTGGAAGAATTGCCTGGCGATCTACTTCCAAAAGATCCCAGCCATTGAAAACCCTATGAGCATAGGAAATGGACTCCACAGCAACTGATTAGTTATAATCTCTCTCAAAGTAATACAGCTCATGGCAGTGTTTAAACCGATACTTTATACACATTTCCTCACTCTCAGCCCAATGCTCTTGATACTAAATCGCCTAAAAAAAAAAAAAATTTAAATTCTCAGCATGACACCCTAAAGCCTTAGTGCACCTAGGACAGCCTTCTCACAATTCCCTCCTGTTGGTTATAAAGAAGGTCAAAAGACAAAATATGTACTTTACTACTGTGTCCAAGCCTGAGAAGGTGAGTTCTGAAAAGTAATGTTTTTGTCCATTTAGGAAGACAATAATAGGTCCTAAGATAGACTGAAATTCGCATAATAGAGTGTAATTTGGCTCTCACTTTGGGGGAGAGTAACTGGAAAAGTGTATTAAGAGCCATAAAATAGTTCACACACTGTAAGAGTGGCATGCCAGAGGCATCTGACCTCCTCTAACTTCACATGGGGGAAGGAGAATCAAGATCAACAGCCCAAGGCTGATTCCTCTGAGGCAGAGATCAGATACGCCTCCTCTCTCCGCTATCTACCAATTCTGACACCAACCATCCTTTCCATGGCATTACTTCTCTTCTGGGTTCTATAATCCATTACAATGGCCACAGAGAACTCAGGGATACTACTATTATGGGGTTAATTAGGGAAGAGGTTACAATTCAAGTTTAGGAACATTCAGGATACAGTTCTTCCATCACGACAGCCTCTTCTCAGTCGTGCCCGCAGGCACACCTCTTTCTGGTCCCTCCAGCTCTGCCCTGCTCAGGCAAGTGTCACAAAGCTCTTTTAGCTCTGCTATACCTCAGCCTAAAGATGCTTAGCGCTAGCTCCACCAAGGGCCTGGAGGCCCCTACTCCTCCAGCAAGCCTCCTGCCCAAAGGCACTCATCTTTCTCACTCTGTGGAAGCCCACTGCGCTGTCTCCTGGTGCCATTTTCATTGTTATGGTCTCTCTGTCTGCTGGTTCCAGGAGCTTCTCAGAGCACGGAACCCAGGTCCAAAGAACACGCTCCGCTCTTGACTTTCCTTACTTGGTGGTGGTGATCTCTCCGTGCTCTGGAATTGGCTCTCTGTTAAGCCTAGCATGACGGCAAAACTGACCAGTCTCCTTGGTGGGTCACAATTACCTTATCTGCAAAGTCCCACCCAATCACTTGGGTGGAAGTTACAAGACCATGGCAAGAAAGGTCACACAAAAGCAATCCATTGAACCATACACACTGATCCAGAATTTTATTTCTGGGAATCTAGCCTTAGATTCTGTGGAACAATCCAAATTATATTCATGATATTTGTTACAGCATTGTCTATATAACAGTGAAAAATTAGAAATGTTTGAAATGTTCAATTAAACGAAAATGATTCAATTGTTAAAATCTAGTTGCTGGAAAATGATGGAGCCATAATGGCTATGAAGATCATGTAAAACCCACAAGACATGATGATAAATTTAAAGATAAATATATATATGCACTATGATCTTTATTATGTAACAAAATACACACAGAAAAAAAAATCAGAAAGAAATATACCAAAAGGCCAATAACAGTTGAGTCAGGATAGTGGGATTATGGATAATTTTTCCCTCTATTATTTTACCAATGCTTATACTACCTTAATTAAAAAAAGAGGGGAGGGGTTCTAAAAGAATTTGGATGCAATTCATGTTATCATTACGTAGAACTGGAAAGGTAATAGGATGGAGAGATTTAGGTTCTAACTTGAGTAACTTCAGTCATGAGCCTACAGTTTAACCCAACAGTGACAATAAAGCCAATCCCATATCTTTCCTTCATGTGGTTATGGGGGTGGAAAAAGACAGCTCTGAAAAGTTAAAGAACAATCAAGACTTAAATCCCATTCAGAGCTTGTATTTCTTGTGATGATGATGAGTGCATCCACCCACTACTCCTCCATCACTGCTACGGGGTCCACAATTCACCACTGCAGAGATGCTCCAGATGAAGCAGGGGGAGAGAAAAAAAGGGGCAAGATGCAGTAAATGAATCACGTAGTGGGAGGTATTCACTAATGCAAAGGGAAAAAACAGTGTGCTTATGTTTACTGGTCAAGCAGTCAGATCACCTGAAACCTAAAGTGTCAAATGTGAGCCTCAGTTTCTTCCTTTGTAAATTGAGATGCCATAGTTTCCTACTTACCTCATAGGGTTACTAGGAAATCAAAAAGAAGAAAAATGTATATGAATGCATTTTATGAAGAGAATATTGTATAATGTCAGTCACGGCTGTTGTTAACAAAACAAGAACACTAACAGAACTTCTGTCCTTAGTGTTCTCTTCTTTTGAAATATACCGAAGGAAATACTGCTGGAGCACTTCCTCATGTCCAAAATATTAAGAAGCCTCAACACAAAAATGAAAAACAAAAACACGTTTTAGGCTATTTGATATCATGAGGATACACACACACACACACAAAGGTTTTAGTGGAAGATTTAGTGATGACTTTTTTCAGAAATCAGAAGTTAATGAATAAAGTACCCTAATTTGATAAGCTATGAAAAAGATACAATGACAGAAATTCTGTGTGTTTAGATGAGATTTTCTTTTGTCTTTCTTGTTTTAAATTTACAAAACCAAACTCCTAGACTGCTAGGATGGGAAAGGACTCTACAAAATTAATATTTTTTTTAATAAAAAATATACAGTGCTTCTTGTATACACTAAATGTTACAAGGTGCTGTAAATCCTCTCCACCATTTAGGTAGAAAGATACTTCTACATGACTAAAAAAAAAAAAAAAAAATCTTGTGAAAGTCATTGGAGAGGGCAAGATTTGGTCCAAAAGCAGAGGGAAGAGTGAAGGGATGACAAGGACAGAATTCTGTTGAAAGAATTCTCTCATGTCAGCCCTTGCTCTTATAATCATAAGTCTCTTACAGACAACTGCCCCGTCTCATGGAGGGGCTCCTTACTCATTTCTCCTTCACTACAATAGTTTATCAAAGTATGTGTCAAGAGACTGAAATCAGACTGAATCTATCTTGTGTGAGATACCCAAGGAAATATGATCCATGACTGACTGAAATACTCCAAATGCTAAAGGGTGTATTTTCCGGACAACAGAAAACAAACATCATACAGAAACGTGTCAAAATGGTGGGGCTTTATGTCTATGGATTCTTTGGTGTCGGATAAGGTGTGAACTTTGTCTAAAGTTTTCTCCACATTCAGGACATTTATAAGGTTTCTCCCCAGTGTGAGTTCTCTGGTGTTTAATGAGGGTTGCACTCTGACTGAAGCTTTTCCCACAGACAGTACATCCATAAGGTTTCTCTCCAGTGTGGATCCTCTGATGTTTAAAGAGATCAGAGCGCTGTTTGAAGCTCTTCTCACATTCTTCACATTTATAGGGCCTCTCACCTTTATGTATTCTCTGATGTCTAAAAAGGTTGGAAATATTGCAGGTTTTTCCACATTCGTTACATTTATAGCATTTATCTCCTGTGTGGATTCTCTGATGGCGATTTAGATGTGAGCTCTGCCTGAAGCTTTCCCCACATTTGGGACATGTATATGGTTTTTCACCTGTATGAGTCCTCTGATGTTTAACCAGGGCAGCACTCTGACTGAAGCTTTTCCCACATTCTTGGCATTCATATGGTTTCTCACCAGTGTGTATTCTCTGGTGTTTAAAGAGGTCAGAACGCTGTTTGAAACTCTTCTCACAGTCATCACATTTATAAGGTTTTTCTTGACGGAACTGCTTCTGGGTCCCCAAAAGCCTAGAGCTATGGAAAATTTCCTCGCTGTCAATAGATTTGTGAGGTATCAACACTTGATATCGCACTGTATCTAAACCCTGTTTGCAATTATTCCCACGTTCATCACTGTTAATAGGCCTGTCTGCTGCCTGAATATGCTGATGAAAAACAAAGTTTGACATTTTGGTACTATTCCCAAATTCACTATTTTTAGAGTCTCCCTTTTCTGTGGAACCATTCTTGCTGAGAACCGAGAAGCTAGTGAATCCTTCTACTTCAAGAGAATTTTCAGTTTTCAGCACTGATGGGTATCTTGACTGCTCTTCTGCCATGTCCCGGTGAGTATCAACACACTCGGAGAACAAGGGAGCCTTTCCCTGAGACCCTTCTTGTAACTGCCCCTGTGGTTCTGCTTCTTCTAAAATTTCTTGCTTTAGAATCAACTCTTTGTCCTCAGTTCTGGATTCCAAACCTAAAACAGTAAAATAAAAATTACAGACATTTCATCCCTTTGCAAAAGTGAAATAAGCAACTGATAGCAGGAAAAAAAAAAAAAAAAACTTTTTAATATTTTCCATTTAACCACTCCTGAAGTTAACATATTTTAATTAACTTGCACAGAACAGGAGAGAATATCTGCAAATCAGATAAAAAGATCTGCAAATATTTTCTCCCGTTCTGTGGATTGGCTGTCTCTTAACTTTCTTTATGGTGTCCTTTTGAGCCCTGGTGGCACAGTGGTTAAGAGCTCAGCTGCTAACCAAAAAGTTGGCCGTTCAAATCTACCAACCACTCCTTGGAAACCCTATGGGACAGTTCTACTCTGTCCTACACAGTTGCTATGAGTCAGAATTGACTCAACACCAGTGGGTTTGTGTTTGTTTTTTTATATCTAATAAGGGACTTGTGCCCAAAATATATAAAGAACTTCTAAAACTCAATAATAAAATACCAAATAACGTACTTTTTAGAAGTATAAAGGATATGAATAGACATTTCTCCAAAGGATATATAAAAGGCGAGGTCCGGAGCAAGCTGGGAGTATGAACAGCTCCACAATCTTATACACCCAAAAAAACACCAAAAAAGATGGGTGGGGGGAAGCCGAAACTGCCAGAACCAATTTTGTCAGAACTCTGGAAACCAGTCAAAAGATTTCAACAACTAAATGAATGCTGAATCAAGAAAAAGGTAGTATCTAAATAGTAGAAAAGCTTTGGTTTTCTATCGCTGGCACCTCACCTCCTCTCTGGCTTGGCATGGTCATCTTAAAGCTGTGGCAGCCCACATTCCCACAGAGGGAGCCTGGTCTGTGGCTCTAGAGAAAGCAGAGCAGATTCTATTTGCAAATTATTGTAAGTGTGTCTGTGTGTGTGTGTGTTCTAACATGTCTGAGAGCTGTCTGAAGGACTGAAGTAAATCACTGATCTCATATTAGTCTCTTTCAGGGCTGAGGGGCAGTGGCAATGCCCAAAGGCTGTAACTGCCTATAGCTGCCTAGGGCTAACAAGTGTGATTTAAGGCATATCTAAAGACAGGAAGAACCCAGGAAGAGAGCCTCTTTTGGAAGTTAAGGCTTTCAAAAACAACATGTATACAGAGAAACTGAAAAAGCCACACACATTTCCGGGGCAAGATGCATGCTCAGAAATTATCTGAAAAGATCCTATGCTTTCATCTCGGGCTGATACCTAGGCTCAGTGCAAGCCTAAGTGTTGAAGGATGGGCCCAGAACAGAGTTAATTTGCAAAGACCATGAGAGGTCTATTTTTTGTTTTATTTTCCCTGCATTCAAAGAAATCTCTGTTTAAATACTACATGAACACAAGCTAAGAAACAGAGATTTCAGTGTTCACACACATCCAGGAAGGCAGGCTTTTCAAAAATA